TGCGAATGGGACCAACCAATAAATTTGTTATGTCTCGCTTTTTTTTTTTTTTGCTGAATTGATTTTATTGGAAAAAATAATTTTATCATCTAGGATGCGCCTTAGTTTTTTTATATTTATTTATGTTGTAAAGAATGGAGACCAGGTTTTTCTAGTTTAATTTTTTTTTTCATTCGAAGGTTGTTTTGTTTTTAAATTACTCATGTTCACTTTCAATCTGATTTCTAAGACTTCAACATTATTGTCTGGTTTAATGACTGTTTATTTTTGAGTTAATGTTCGGACCCAAAGTGTGTATGTCGATTGGATCATGATAAGTTGGTGATGTTAATTGGCAGTTGGACTAGCTTTTGGAAACAATTATTATGGCAACTCCAGAGCAGCAAGCCGCACCCAAAACTCCTGCGGCTGATATTGTATGTATATCTACATTTTCTTTATTGAGCCTGATAAATGCTCCCTGTTAATTTTCACATAACTGACTGGTATTGAATGAACCTACAATGTAGGTTGGTAATGCCTTTGTTGATCAGTATTACCACATGTTGCATGAAAGCCCTGAGCTGGTGCATAGGTTTTACCAAGATGACAGTAAGCTTGGGCGTCCCGAACAGAATGGTATAATGGGTATTACAACCACAATGTTTGTGAGTTTTCTCTCTTACAATCTTTCTCTTTTGTTTTCCCGAAATATGCTGAGTAGTGTATACCCAACTTTCTTCATATTAAGATATCTGTAATACATTATATATATATATATATATGTAAAGATGGATTGTTGTGCATTTATTTTCATCACTTAATTCCAATTATCTTTATTCTCAATTTGAGGTGCATTTAATAAAACAAACATTTAGATTATAAAATTACTTCTTTTTTTTGCATAATTTATCATAAAAATAATATGAAAATTAAAAAGTTATAACTCATTCTGATTCATCCTTTGTTGTAATTAAATAGTTGACATAAAATTTAAAATGACATTTTTATTTCATTCTATCCCATCTCATCTCATCATATGAAGAGTGCTAGCAATACACTCTTAACATACTCTTTTCAACACACTAATTTTTATTAGTCATAATTTATTAAAAATTACAAAATCTATTTTATTTCCTTCTCTAAGGCATTCCTTTCAACACATTCTTCATTATAGTTTAATCTATTCTATTTCATTTTCTACCATCAATCCAAACATATTATGACATCATTCTTTCACTTATCGAATTTGGAGTACTTTACTAGAAACCATTTTATTCACGTGTTTTGAGTTGTCTATATAAACTCTACCGATTACCTGATTAGTTTTCTTAGTCAAGTCAGGTCAACTAACCAAACCAGCCAATTGTGTTTGATTTTCAAGAGTATGAGTTAAGTAAATAGACCATACTTAGATTTTAAGTTATTTTTTTCCTTTTCTTTTGGTCCTCCTTTATATTGTTGGTCATAAATTTTAAATTTTTATTTCCAAATTTTTCCAAATTTTTAATGCTTAGAATCCAAGTTCCTTGACCTTTGCTAGTATCAGATTATTTATGTTTAACAAAGTCAGAATGTGATTAAAAATTAAAAAAATTAAAAAAAAATAAAAGGTTGTACAAAATTTTTCAAGAAAAGCTTATTATTGTATAGTTAAAAACAAGTATTAAAAGAAACTCAAAAATCACAAGTCTTAATTTGAATATAATAAGAGAATTTCAATAATATAATCTTATATACTCTCTAATGATCATAAAACACTTTTATCAGGTTGTACAATATTGTTGATTGACTTTTTTGGCATTATATATATATATATAGATAGATAGATAGAGAGAGAGAGAGAAGATCCACTTACCTCAAGAATAAGTATAATTAGATTGACTTCACTCAATAACTCATTTTGTATTAAATTTTGATAATCCAACTATTGAATTAAAAATTTCTAATGCATAATTCTAAGTTTGTAAAGTTTTTAAAAATTTTTAAATTATTTAATATTTCATTTTATTAATTCAAATTAATGTATAAAATATTTTTATGATTATCCATCAATTTGAACTAATGAAATAAAATATCAAATAATTTTCAAAATTTTTAAAACTTTACAAACTCAATATATACATTAAAAAAATTTAATTCAACAGTTAAATTGTCAAAATTTAATAATTATTGAGTAAAATAAGTTTAAATAATTTTTTTTTTTTGCATTAAATGAATTTCTCCTTGTATATAAGTTAACTATGACATATAAAGCAAAACATGATTCACCAAGAAGGAATAATACTATAGCCGGTAGAGTTGTTCCAAAACTTTCCTTCAATCTATATGTATATTAATATTGGTCACTCCTTATAACTTCAATTTGAAAGGAAAGTGACTAAGTCTAAATGTGTCATTTATCATTTTGAGTATGAGATTATGAGATTATGTGTGATTCTTTGAATCTATTCTGTTCGGATGCCATTTACTTGATTTAGGCTCCATTACTTCAGTTAGCTTATGTTACGTTTGTAAGGGCTAAAAGCATTTGGGATAAATCTTTGTAAGAATTAAGAATATATTGGTGTCATTTCATTATTTTTCAGTGCTTACTTTTTCTTTCGTTTAATTTTTTTCCCCTCCATTACTTTGTTAGCCTTTCGTGCTATTTCTCTTTTGTTTTTTTTTTTCTTAAAAAAAATAAGGTATCATGTGTATGCTTCCATTTCTATATTTTATCTTGAAATAAACTCTCCGATACCCCAGCACCATCATTTTCCCTTTGTTTATTTATTTGAAAGCGACATCGTTTCAAATATGAACATTTGTTTTCTACGGGAAAGTCAAAAGATACCCGTACCATGGTCGAGCCCAACTTTACATATATGGATTAGAAATATAAATTCTTAAGTCCTGAATTTTAATTTCAATTTGGGCTACTTTATTTGTAATTTCATGATCTCACTTTCTTTATAAAAAAAAACGAAAGAAAGAATAAAAGCTACGTTATTTGTAATTTTATGACTTCATTGTTCTATAAAAGCTTCTTGTAAAGATTTATTAACGGATGTGCGATTTTTTTTATTGTTACTATATTCTATGGCATACCGACTGGTTGAAGCTTTCAACTAATTTATTTCAACGAGATAAAGATTAAAGAGTCAGTTTGTTTAAAATTATAAAAAAAAATGTTTGAAAACAAAATCACTTTCAATTTTTTTTAAAGAAATGATTATTTAAAAAATAGACAAACAAAAATATTAAAAACTACTTATTTTATTAAAAACATTTTTTTATGTACTACATATTAATTGCAATTGTCTCTCCTTTTAAATAGTAAGTCTATTAAATTATACATAATAAGAATTCAAATCATCTGTCCCATTAAAAAGTCTCAAATTATGGCTTACCAATAATAAGTCTTAATAGGTGAATTAAAACAAACAATATTTTATTTTTTTTCTTACATTTTTACATATCTTTAACGGAGTATAGTTACATGTTTCGTTATAATGAGACATACCCATTCACATTCAACTCCTCCAAAACGTATGTCATTCTCACTATCTAACAACTTTGACTTCAACAAGCGACAACGACAAAGAAAGTCCTCGAATTACTCACCTACATACAACACTTCTAAAATGCATGTCATTCTTATTGTCAACAACTTTGACTCCGATGAATGTCAACGACAAAGGAAGCCCCTCAAATTGCAACGACCACTATCACTCCTGCCACAATGAGTGGTGGCATTGTCGACAGGATGGAAATAAATAATTGGAATGTAATACTGGTGGTGATCCTTATGGATAAGTGCAATTCCACACAATGGGGTGGCAAATCTGTGTTAAAAGACTTAAAATTGAGGACTTACAATACATGAAAAATAAAATATTTTTTAAATTTTAATTCACATGTTTAAAATTTGATTGGTGATTCAGAATGAGACAATGATTTGTAACCACATGATAGACTAAGGAAAAAACATTCCATTACGCCCTCCTTTTAAATAATTTCCAAATACGTTCTTAAAAAGTTGTCATTCAGTCGTCTCTCCTTCCCTTGCCTTCGAAAATGTAAATCCCATTCGAGGTTTAGGTGCTCAAAATCACTCAAGGTTCTCGAAATTCAATACCAGTTAAAGAATCAAAAAGTTCTAACAATTATTTCGCAACGCACAAAACAAAGTCCAACAGAATTCATAGCTCAAGCAAATGAGCAGCATCCTGCGTTCAAATAATCGCAGAAACTTTCTATCTCAAAAGTTACGACATCACAAGAAGTTATACACAAATCAAAAACAAACAGGCCACAGCATTTTGAAAGGCCAGAGTGTATGCTAAACAATGTCTCTCCATCTTTGCAGAATTTATTCCAGATGGAAAATCGAAGGATGAATCAGTGGTGATCATCATCGCCATGTCCATCAGGTGATCCACCAGGTCCAACCACTTCCAGCTGTTTACGGGGGAAAAAGGATAGAAAAATTAGCATCAATGTGTGAACAATAATTTGATTAATTCTCATTAATATTCTAAATTTGATTGAAGTTCTAACGAAGTTGAACACATGACAATAGTTTAAACTTTAAACAAACCATGCCCTGCACTACTTAAGGTTAGATTCTCCACCAAAAATTAGCATAAGTCCATTTCATGTAGGCATACACTACATGGGGTTTCCGAACCAGCCACCAACCCACAGATACATTAAAGCATCTTGATAACATTGGCAAAAGATAACATAAAACAAAAACGTTCCTATAGAATTTTATACTATTTTCCAGGATGCCAATTGATAATTCAAGAATTTATTGAGCAGTTAGGAAATAAATTGATTTGTTAAATATGACATGGAGCCATGGTTGTTAAATTTGAGTATTTAACCCGTGAACATGCATGATTTTACATGTCCAGGGTGACACAACAAACCAACTTGATCACACACTTTCTCATCATCAAACTCAGATGAACTCGTTAGGTCCAAAAGCAAGCACATTCGGCATTGTGAGTTTGCTGCCAATTCCATAAGTTTGGTTCAGTTGACTAAAACTCGCCCCACAAAATTGTGCCATATTCATTAGGGTTTCATCCTTCTTTACAGGCTATTGTGGGTTTTCAGCAAGGATCACGAGTCATGACCCTTCTAGTTTCTCCTCCTTTGAACACATCTTCTCCTTCTCCAATGACAAAAATGGTAATGAAAACGAAGATGCTGATTTGAAGACCATTAAGACTTTATTTTTATTTTGTATTTTTCACTTTATGAACTTCTATGTTTTAATTTGATCATTTATGCATGACTTTATCATTGTCATACCTTGTCAATATAGTGTGCTTTGTTATGATATTCAAATGTTGGTTTTTATTGTTTTATGGTATTACATTTGATTTGGATGCTATGATTATATTATCTTTGGTTTGGATACTGTGATTATGTTTTATTTATTATTATTTTGGTACGAGGTGAACTCTTGCGAGCTTACAGGCCCTTCTTGAGTTTACATAAATTCTTCAATTTGAACAACCTTGCCTTGAGCTAATAGAATTTTTGATTCCTACAAAAAGTTTTGTTGTTTGACTTGTCAGATCAAAAACAGGTTCCCAAAACATAGGGAGGCAACTGGAAGAGCTTCTGTTGAATTTATTTGAAATTATCTTATTATCATGAAAGTAGTTAAGCTGAAAATTGAAGGATGGCCTATGACTCTCCTATAAGCTCTTTTTAGCTTTTAATTCAACATGTTTCTCATAAATTTTACCAAAATAAGCTTATTAAATCAAGTATTTGTGACATAAGCTCTGATATAATAAGCACTTACTGAATACGTCCCTAATTAAACTGTTTACCCAAATGTACCCTTAAACCAATCTGGGTCTGGATGATAATAATAAGTCGATCAATGTTTCAAATACATAATTGAAATCCTCTCACTTTCCCATTAACTACTTTATAATGTCTTATAAATAAGCCTCTCACCAAAATAAGCTCATTAAATTGAACATTTATGACATAAGCTCTCATAATGTAAGCACTTACTGAATAAGTCCCTAATTAAATTGTTTACCCAAAAGTACCCTTAAACCAATCTGGGTCTGGATGATAATAGAATGTCGATCAATGTTTCAAATACATAATTGAAAGCCTCTCACTTTCCCATTAACTACTTTATAATGTCTTCTGGCTAAAATAGCAATTATCTCACACTCATAGCAATAATCTAAGAACACTAAAATCATGCAACACCACAACATAATCATATTTAAGACTAGTCAAAGCATTCAGATTGTAGAAATATAAGTTAAAGGAACTAAAAATCACTCCAAATATATTTTATAAGAGCATCCTCAGTCTGTGTGGTCAATAACAATCGCTAAGCAATGGTGCTTGACAATCAATGTGCACAAGTGAAGAACACAAGTAGGTATTTTCAATTGAAATACTGAACATATTTCGACATTCAACTCAACACCTATCTAAAGTAACAGCAGAAGATTTTGTACTATGAATCGTTTATTTTATTTTATTTTGTCAATTCAATCTTATTAAATTTTTTATTTTTGGGGAATAAAAATTGAATAATTTTTCATTTTTTTAATATAGTAAATGATTCACGGATTCTCAACTTGCCACAAAAATACTGTGAAAGTAAAAGATATTCTAAATGTTATTATGAACTTACAACAAAATACTGTGCGCACACTGGACATTCATGGGGCTTGCCTTTCTCCAGCCAAAACCAGACAACATCGTGCTCATCCTCTGCAATCAAAACAAGTTTTTCACCCCCTCCCCAACACCATAACCAGAATTCTAGCATTTTTCATCACCTTGGGAAGAAGTTTCCAAAAAATACATTAGGAGATACAAGGAATATTCTGATACTCACCACCTTCACCTCCTGGGCACCCAACTATCCTTTTATCGTAGTAAGATTTAACAATAGCAGGTGCTTCCTACGAACCAAAACAAACAATGAAATACAATATAGATGAAACATATATAAAACCTTTATTAATATTTTGACAATGTGAATCTGCACAACACAAACCATTTGGTAAGAAAGAAAAATGAATTAGAAAGACAGATAGCCCATTTAATCAAATGAAAAGTGAAAAATCAAGAAGCTTAAGTAAGCCACTATGATATGGTAAAGGATAAGAAAGGCTTAGAAAATCTCAGATACTTCACCTGTTGTGTCTTTATTTCTTGTTTTTACTTTTTTTTTACAAAATTGCCACCTTGTTTTCAATGTTTTATTGATTTCAAAGATTTGTACAGGAAACACTAAAAACAACTCTCTTTTTGTTTTCTCTGTTTCCCAGGTAATTCTTTGGAAACACGAAACAAACTGAAAACAGGATGACAATTTTGTAATTAAAAAGTGAAAACAGAAAATGAAAACACAAGTAAACAGGCCTTTAGATTCCATCAATTCATGTAAACAAATCCACAATTGTTTTAACTACTAAACAGTTATCCAAGTTTAGCTTAAATAACTGGGCTCAAAATATATGCATCACTGCTTTCACATTTCTTTGCTGCTATCTAGTACACAAGAACATATAATAAAACATTAAAATATATATTGATATTGCCAATTATGGGTGTTGTGCTTTGGAAAGATATTAAATGTTTGAACATCTTGAAAAACACTTGAAATCCAATTTTAAGGATTTGGAAACTCTTTTTAAGTGCAGAAAGTATCACAATTCATACACACGGAGCAATTCCAGTAACTAATTATGAAGAATCAACTCATGAATTAGGTTCAAAGAGGCCAGGTTTGGGAGAATTTTCAGTCCAGGCCAAATAAATGGGGTTGGGTTGGGTCAGTTTTCATGAATTCAACCCAAATGTCTCAATACCCAAGCCAAATGTCATTGATCTGACAAATTTTTTACATAACCTGATCCAGTTGCCTGAACTAAACAGGCTTTAAGAGGTAGTGTTGATTCAGGTTCATGGGTTGAGATGGACCCAACCCACCCCTAGTCCTAGGTTTAAATAAGATTTTGGTCCCTATAGTTTTAACATATTTTGGATTTGGTCATATTTTATATTTGACTAGGTTTTTATGGTTTATGGTTTATAACACGGAGAACCACAGGCTTTTATATCAACAGCTTATGAAAAAGTTTGCTTGTAAAATGTAATCTGCACTAGGGAAACTAACAGGGAAATGTAAAATGAAACATCTTCCAATACGTAACTTTCAAGATTCAACAGCCACAACGAAACTTGTTCAAGTGATACAGAGAGTCAAGTGTACTGTCTACACTAGGGAAACTAACGGGAAAAAAATGCATTCGAAGCTTTCTTCAAAATAAAAACTTGCTGCACATGCACAAATCCATAACAGAAGATGCAATGAAGGATGAAATAATGAACATCACTTATTGAGCCAAAACACATTGAAAAAATGATTTCCCCAGCGCAATGCTATGTGACCTTACAAAACAAAAATTATACTTTACTGTATAAACAATTTAAATAGAAAAGCAATAACACTGACCTTAGTGCCGAATGGACCTTCGGGATGATCTATTTCAAGAATATTCCTTCCCTAACCAAAAGAAACAGATAATAAGAAAACAAAAACTAACAATGAGAATCTCACTTCAATTCAAATGCTTGGTTTTATTTACATAAAATGCATAGAGAAAAACAGCTATTCGGTTAATAGCTCTTTCTGCAATACTTTAATCACAAGTTTTTCGGAGTGTATGTGTGAAGTGTGTGTGAACATGAACAATAAATAAGCATTAAGCTAACTAATAAGAAAAGCAGTAGGGCACAGAAAAGAGTAAGGAACCAGACTAAGCAGTTGATTGAAGAGAGAGAGAGACCTCGAGCTCAGCCTGAAGCTCTTCGCGCTCGTGGCCAGTGGCGATAGGCATTATGTCCTCGACCTTCTTTTTGATCGCAGAAGAATCCTCTGTAAGAAGAAGAAGAAGAAATATGAGATGAGTTAATAAATTAGCGAATGAGGAAAAGGAGAGAGTGGAGCACCGGATTGGGAAGAGAAGTAGCGGGAGAAGCGAGGAAG